ACCATTGGAGAGAACATGGAAGTAGGGAAAACTGACTTGATTCCAATTAAGCACATGATACTTGTAAAGAATTCATCTTTCTGGCTTTTTTCATGCGGAAACTATAAAGGTGGGTCCACATTCTTCGCATGCTTCAATGGAGTTATTCTATAAATAGGGCTTTAAAGATGAGGAATTTCCAAGAACAAGACATAATTACACAAACATTATACAGAACAATCCAAAGACATGGTTTTGAGGTTACTGTTCTTTCCAGCTTTGATTCTTTGTTGCATGTTGTCTGAGATTATTGGAGTTTCAGGAGATGTTGGGTCTGCAATGCCTTACCATCCTCCATACTTGCGTACGTTTAAAAGCTGCCTTTAGTTCATCTTATGACCTTTTATTCCTCTTCATTCGTTTTGCTTAATTGGTTCTTTAAATGTGTATGAAGCAACAAGATGTGAAGGTTATAACCAAGATCAGTTCCCGGCCAGTGGGCAGTTTGTTGCGGTTAGTGATAGCTTATGGGACAATGGAGCAGCATGTGGTAGGAGGTATCGAATGAGATGCATCAGTGGCCCCAGACACCCCTGTAAGGATGAATATATAGTTGTGGAGGTGGTTGATTTTTGCAATGATCCATGTCCTGTAACTCTGCGGCTGTCGGATAAAGCCTTTGATGCCATCTCAAAACTCTCAAGTGCCAGAATCAATGTCGAATATATGCAGTAATGATCCAATCTTCAAGCAAATAACAAGAATTTGATGATGCATGCAGACAATGCTTTGCGTGAGATAACCATTCTTGTTTTGTTCTGTTTTGCAGGATCTGAGTCTAATCTGCCTTGGCATTCTTCGCAGCCATTAACATAAAGATGAAAGAACATAAATGGAATCTTTATTGTGTTGCACCTAATAAAGCATAATATTGTACTCTACTAACACAAGGGAACTCGCTACCAAAAATATTATTACTGTTTATTGATATAATTCTTAATGGATATGTTGTTTTCTGGATTTTATTTTCAAGAGAATGAATGACACCCGTAAATTATGATGGAATAAGATGTAAGGTACTGCAATTACAACAAATTTGTTTCTTACAAGGATGCTGGAGACTGTAAGGTGTTTGAATGATCATTCCCAAATTCCTGGCGCTGCCTTTGGAAATAAGGATGAAGAAAACCAACTCCCTCCAGGTACAATGGTGTCTGCATTTCAATCAAACGGAAGACCTACAGAGATAGATTGTCAGTCCATTAACACATGCAATAAGTTCTATTATTCGTTAAGAGTTATAAAAGTGAAAGTAGTTCAAGTATCTGTGTGTGCTTAATCCAAGGGACGGATGAGAAAGAAGGAGAGGGAGAGGGAGAGAGTTATAAACCGTAGATATGTGCCTCGAAGAGAAAAGAAGAATGATACTTACTGCTCAGCGGAAGGCAAACATCTCTTCCTGACCAGACAGCATGGATACAATACCAGCAGGTGCACCTCCAGTACTCACACTTCCCTCAGCCAGAACATTTCGGCGAAGTTTTGAACCTTCTGTCTCTGTTTCAAACTGGAAACTGGAAAATAGAGAGTTAACAGGCTCAAATGGATGTGATTTTTCGAAGATGATCTGAATGATGAATCTAGAAAATACCTTTCCAAATCAAAAAGTGTACCCTCTTCAGTTCCTTGAAACAAATTATCAATAGATGAAGCTGCAGAACAAAATAGGCGGCAATGATGGTTGTATAGTTCATCGACAAGGGTGATAAACCTACGTGCCTGAAAGGTGGAAATATTCATTATTTGTAAAAATAAGAAGCGCAACTCTTAAAACACAGCAATTCAATTCCGCCAGTTGATCATATTTTTTCTGATTCCTAGTCTATCATGCATAGAAATAGATGTTATGGTTCCAAATATTAATATGGAAATCTAAGCTTATGGTCCAGCTATGTTGAAGAGGATACAAACACTTGGATCACTCTGACGTTGAGTCTAACAGGATCTGCCAAAGCAATCTATCTGTGTCACCTCATTGCTGGTTCCTATTGGACTAGCTTAGTGTTAGAAAGCAGTTACTGCACTACAACCTTTAAAATCCAATATTCCTATTCCTTTCATTAGATTTATGTTATCTCATTGCCTAGACCTGTCTTACCTACCAGAGGAACGAAGAAGATTAATGTTACCTTATCACGAATTCGCATACTCATCACAGGAATATCAGAGATGAAAACAGTGTGATAATTTTTTGCCACTGCAATATAATCAGCGGCACCTACCTGGAGAAAATTAACATTTAAGTAGTGAGACCAAAAACCAGGCATAAACAAGCTTAACTTTGGTGGTGTCATATTTGTTGCCGATTGTAAAGAAAGTTTGAATTTTAAATGCTGATGAGAAGAAAACTGATTTTTCAGTTCTTAAAGATCTCTGATGCCATGGGTGGATGGATAGAAGGATGCCATGTACCCAAAAGAAAAGGAAAATAAGAATTATGAACAAAAATCTCAAACTCATACTAAGGAAGTATGATACCGGCTGACCACATAGATAGTCAAATGTGAATCGTGCTACTCCATTGCAGCTCTCAGGAACCTCCAAAGTCCTGATTTAAAACAAAATACACAACTTCAAAATAGATAAATTGAATTTGATTAATTAATATCATTAAGATAGAGAATTACCTCCCAAACATCACCGGTATTGTATTTGATGTGATCTGCCCTCCAGATTGGTCTGTAACCTGACACCATGTTTTCTCAAACTCCTTCAGGGTAATGCCATCCAAGGGCCAAAAATAATGGACCTGCATTTGCACAAACTATAAATTTCAAACACTAGCCAAAAGAACTTGTCAATTTTCATTTTCCCAGTCGCTTCAAGTAGAACCACTGAACCAATCATCACCTATAATTACAATAATCCTAGTCAAATTATAGTTTTCCTGCATTGACAATCCTCATATAGAAAGATGACGTCTCACCTGGTCTACAGACCTTTGTGCTATTAGGCGCCGATAATCAATCTCACTTCCAACCAGAACTACCTCACAGTGTTTCTCCAACTTGGCTATAAATTTTTGGAAGATCTCTCGCTGCATACCATCCTGCATGGTAAAAAAATTAAAAACAGTAAGAGAAGCAAAAAGGCAATGCAAGAGAAGTTTAAGCAGACAATAACAGCTTCAAAAAATAATGTCTTCACAGGAAAAATTCAAATCATTAACACCCAGGTACAGATTAGAAGGAACCAAAGTTTTTCAATTATGCACACCTGATTTAAATCCTTAGGTGCTCGATTACTGGTGGCAATAAGAACAGTTCCATTGCTCAGTAATCTGCTTAGAATTCCAGATAAGGCCACAATAGCAAAAACATCAACAGTCTGGAACAGAAAGCAACAATTTATGTCAAAAGAACACATTGCTAATTCATTACGCTGATTTTCTTGAACAACATACTATATAGCACATGGTAAGAAAAATCCATAATGCTCCCAGGGGATGGGAATGCAGGGGATGGGAATGCAGAGCATGTTGCTAGTTGCTAAGCAAGCTTTTGTTCTCATCCTCCAGCACATGGTAGTGAAAAAATCATTAATGCTCCCACAAAAAAGGGAACTCACAGCCATTGCCAAAATGAGGTCTGGCTCTCATTATGAGATTAACCTAAGCAAGGGTAAGAGCACCAGCAGCACCCATAGATAATGTATATGTAAAAAAGTACATGTATCTCATTAAGAGGAAATTGTGATACTGAATGACAATGTAAACAAGTACCTGTATCTCATCAAAGCAAAGAATGCTTGCTCCTCTTTGACCTGCTTTCCAGTCAACTAGAAACTTATCTGCTACTTCAGGAAGAATATTTTTCATCTGAACCTCTTGTTTATATCTTTCTTCTGCAGCTAACCATTCTTTAACTTTCATATCAACTGGGAGATTCATAATCCAGCTAGATATGCTTGACTGTAAAGACTTTTCCTCAACTTGATTCTTCCACAATCTATGCATCTCTTCATTTATTTTTAACATAGCCTGCCAATATATAGAAAAATCACAACAAATATTTAACCAAAAGTAGCATAGGGCTGCAAACCACACACATGAAGACATCTCTCAGAAACTAATAACCACCAAAAATTATGGCAATAGCACATTTCATTGAAAAATAATATTTTCAGGGAGAGGGAGTATGTTTGAAAAAGCCTAAAAATATACCAGGCAGATCTCTCTCTATTTTGTGATTGGAAACACTACACCAGTTTTTTTATAAATAAATAAATATATATACATATATATATGCTTCAAATGTGAATCACAGAAATTACCATAGATGCAATAGTAAGATAAAGCACTAGGAAAGCCTCACCTCATGGAAGTGCAACCTTCTTCTATGCTTAATAATCCCTTCAGTGGCACCATAAAACATATCCATAAGCATTGTTTTCCCTACATGTAATAATCTTTAGTTAATAGATGTGCACCATTTGTTACCATTATACTTCATGGATCAGAGTAAGATAATTAAGGGAAAAGGAAAAAGTAATTTCCAGTTGTCAATTAAATGACTAGTTACTGAAACTACACAAGTAACATGACGTGCCTCATGAAATTCAGCAACGTACCACTTCCAACATTGCCATAAATATATAGTCCTTTTGGGGCAGGAGGTGCAGTAGGACGCCGACCAACAAGTGAATCCAACTTCTTTTCTCGATTGAGATAGGTAACCCACTTACCAACCCCAGGTTCAACATCAACATTTCTCCTGATTCAAAAGAAATCTCATTGATATTAAGAAAACTAAACAAGAACCAAAGAAGAAAACATGTATGTGTGGAATTGCATCAAGTAGTTACAGATGCAAATTGTGGAATGAGAAAAACAGTTGGTGTTGAGGAGTGGAGAACTAATTGAACCAAGCACAGAGATGATAATATAAAATTAAATCCAAAAAAAAAAAAAAGGCATGGGCCTCAAAAAAATGTTACAAATTGAATAAAGAATTTCATCTATATATTTACAACAGCCAATGGCATAATGGTGGCAAATTAACTTGAGCAGCATTAACTTGCTAGAACCAGTGAGCCTCACCTGAACGTCCATCTTCCTAACAGTTCAATCCTCCTCTTATTTACTGACGTCCAAAAGTCACCTTGCTGTTTGAGTTCAGCTTCCTCCATTAAAAGCCTCCGCCGCTCATCCTCCCTTTTTTTCTCCCAATTGGCTAGCTTTATCTGTTAAAGGAATGTTTAAGATGAACAATAATAATATCAACCGGAAGTATAGTTCATAATAGAGTCTCAACCGTACATGGTATTCCTGCATATCTTTTTCATACTGTTCCAACCTCTGAAGCAGATTTTGCAATGCCAAAGCAACCTTTTCTTGATAAGGATCATTCTGCAGCCGTCCTTGCTCAACCAAGTTTCTGTATTGTGGCAGAGGACCTAATGAAAAAGGTCTCAAATCATACTCCAAGAACAGAAACAACTAATACTAAGAAATTATCAAAAAGATGAACAACAAATTCACAATACAAAAACTGGAGTCATCACATGACAAGATCTCATATGTCGAAACAAAGAGACCTGCAAGTTTGCTGCCCTTCATACAAACATGGGCTCAACATTTTCTTCTTCTTCTTCTTCTCTCATCTTCCTAAAAACATTATATGGATCAAAACAAAGTGGAATTTTGTGTTTAAAAAAAAAAGGGACATATTCAAACGAGCAATTTGAAACCATAAAATCTCCAAACTTTCTTGATAGAGTCCAGAGAGAAGAAACACTCAATTCCACAAAAGGGTGAATCTTTAAATGGAGAAAACAATCTACTGGTAAAAGGGCTTGATGCTAGATGATTCAATTCCAACCATGTCAATGCAGGGGAGTAAAAGTACCTGGAGGCTTCGGGGAAGACAGCTGATCCGAGTAAGAACGAATCGAAATTAAGTGAATTTTGTCTGAAAAACTTCGACGAACCAAGACTAGATTGAAAAGTGAAGAGATTGATGAAATTTTTCTCATTTTTGTTCACCCTTTTCCCTTCTCAACGCCAATCTTCTCTTCTCTACGAACTTGAAATCATATAGAGAGCAACAACCAGAAGGAGCGACGTTATTAGTTTCCTTTTCTCCTACTTCCTCTGGCTCTGGAATTCAACGGAGGAAATGACGTGGACGTTGATCAACCCACCACGTGCAAGCAAAAGGGTAAGTGAAAAAAGTGCCTAAAATTCAAGGGCTTGAATGCAATTTTACAGAATCCTCCGATTGTCGTCCTTTTTTGTCGCTGGAAACATCAACAGCCATGGTTGAAGGAGAAGAAGAAGCGGAAGAATTTACAGGTATACAAATACAGAGAATTAAAAAAGACTGTTGCTTTATCAGGGAAATATCAAAACCCTAAGCTACTTCTTTGAGTTGAGGTTACATTACCAAGTATGTTATTGTGTCTATCTGAAACTCAGGGAGGGGTTACCACCGTCTGTAACAGCCTCTGTTTCGGACGGCGGGAAGCTGGTCCGGTATGGTCAAGAATGAAACGGGCTGACCCGCTTGTGGCCCATAACCCCAATTCAGTGCTTGAGTCCATGGTTATGGGCCTGATTAAGGTTAAAAGCTCATATTTTGCCTGCTCCCGCCAGTCCCTCGTTAACTCCCCCATGACGGCTCACCCCTCCGCCAGCGTCATCGGACAAGACATTGATCGTCGTTGAGCTGGTTACACGGTAATGATCAACTGCAAAAGTCTCGGATGAGTTTTGTCGGAAGATGTTCATGTTCAGAATACAATGGTGCACATGTGCCGTTGTTATAAGGCGATTTACATCATCTGTTAGTGAAGTTTTGATACTGTTCCACTTTATCTGGGAAAATAGTTCTTCATATACTAGAAAGGTCCCCAATTTGACAATATCCTCCTTCGAACCCCTTCTAATCATCAAAAGCCAAAACAAGCTGAGACCTTTCAATAATCATAAAATATCTCTAAATGCTTTTGCTGTCATTCTGTATGTGTTGTTGCATTCAATGAGTCGTCTTCTTACAAGTTTTTTTCTTTCAATCATGTCGGTATTGAAGATCTTCATGGTTTTTACAAAGGGATAAAATGTTAGAATTAAATTTTGCTTTCTAAAAGAAAATCTGGGTTTTCCATCTTTGCAGT